GGACAGAGGAGGACAGGCAACCACCGCTTGGTATGGTTGCAGTGCCAGAATGGTTGAAGCCGTAAAGATGATTTGGAGGCATGCTGAATCGTTCAGCCCAACGGGACCGCTAGAAGTAATGTGATAGGTGCTCAAGTCGACTTCAACGTCTCGCCTCAAGACAAAGGGGGAAAAGGTAGCCGAGACAGTGGCGCCATCACTAGAACCAGCACCAGCAGCACTCAGGATCGCATCAACGATGACGATGAAGACTGGAATAAAAATCTGGATGAAGAAAAAGTAGACAGATTTCATTGTTCAGACTAACCCCGCCGACTTGAGATTGGCAGGCAATTGTAGTAACCGAGCCTTGGGTCTGATTTGGAGGAACCGCAATCACACACACTCACACGTATCCAGACCCGCATGCATGCACACTCAGGAAGGCACGAGTGCACAAAAGGCACAGTCTTCACTTGCACCACCCGCAAGTATGGTTACTGTAACTAAGCGCATACTCACGCATGTATATCCGGAGACCATATGGCCTCCTTCCACCAGATGTGCAAATACTGCGCTGCCTTCTGATAAATATGGCCAAATTGGAGCTACCAACAAACCCCTGAGTGCGCATCTCGTAAAAGAGGCTTATGTCACCTCTTCCAGTAAGGCTCTTTCTTCTTCCATAGCACACTTACGCCCTGCCGTCTAGACGGTGCAGAATTGATTATTCCAGACAGGACCCGTACGGCCGGGTTCAAGGCAGACAAACGAAGTTTGCACGGGCTAGCTTCAAAGAACTGGAAGGAGAGAAGCAAATAAGGGTAGAAGAGATTCCACAACCAAAGCAGCTTGATGTATCTGCAGGCTTCATTAACATTGGTGATGCGCGTACGCTAGCAGGCATTCATTTGCGCGTGTGTGCGTGTTTGATTGTCTGTTTGCTTGCGTATGTGAGGGGGCGAGAAGGAGAGAGATTCAGAAGAGCATGCTTCAGGCTCTGTAGAAGGCAACTCGAAACGGCCAAATTTTCTGATGTCAATCGATAGCTCCAAGATGGATGGTCAAAGTTGCCGTGGTCAGAGGTCAGGGACTATGGCCATCTGTGATGAGAAAGCGAGAGAGCAAAGACAGAGAGACTGAGAGGAGCGAGTGCGAGAGAGCAGGAAAGATAAGAGAAAGAGAAAGGTCCAAGTACCAAGGACCAAGTTGGAATAGTCTCAGCGATGTGGGTACACAGTATCAGTTTGCGTCGGTTCACGCGTGCATGCAGACTCGCCGGACTGCAGTAAAGCCAAGGTAACCAGACGATTGGATTGGACCAATCATAGACAACGAAGCGATCGAAGCTTCGGATGTGAGAAGGCTAGACGCTCAGTTGATGGTTAAGTGGCTGCAATGGCGTTTTCTAGAAATCGGCAAATCTCCCAAGCGTTTGAACAATCAGAGGTCTGCTCGCGGTCTTGTGAAACAAGACACAAGCAGCTACGTAACTTCTTGCTTGCTCTCCCTACCTCTCCACCTCCCTCTCCTCTTCCTGTCATATAAGGCTCTCTCTCTCTCCTTCTCAGCCTCTTGGACATGCTCAGGAAGACCGACCGAGCTTGTGAACTCGACTACAGCCCGGACTTGATAGGCCCACAAAAACGTCTAAGCAGAGAGACAAACATGCATCAGTCACTAGGTTAGTGTGCACACGACACACATACACAAAAAAGACGAGTCCATTCAAAAGACCAGAAACTTGTGATTACGAGGGCAGACGCCATCCTTCGATCGATAAAGACTGGGAACAAAGGAAGATCAAGGCCAAGAGATTCAATCAAGCATGAAAAAAGATGATTTAAGGGATGTCCCAAACAGAGAAGAAATCTTGAGTCCGAAGCTAGAATGAAGAGCATCGATACGATCGCTAAAGCAACAGGGAAATCGACCAAATTAACGGCAGACCACCAAGTCAAGAAAATAAGACAGAATGGGTCATAAAAATTCGCATTTTAGCACCTTGAGAAGAACTTTGAAGAGCCAAGAGAAAAAGTCAAAACAGTTGAATGATACCAAAACTCCGAGACATGATGAACCTATTTAATCGTGAAAAACAACTTGTGCATCAAACGAAACGGTGCTGTCAGCATTCTTTAATAACGTAGACCGGCCAGGCGCTACAAAATACCTGAATCCTCGTACTCAACGCCTCTACACTTCTACACCTCTGAGCACTTGGCACACTGCTTCCAATGTTTCTTTTGACGTTGCAGCTTAGATGAGAATATACTTGTCTGATAAAGACCCACTTCTATTATAACAGATAGTGTAGGTAGCAGGGTCGAGAGATATTAGATTTCTGACCTTCTTTGCATTCGCTACAGCCGCAATAGATAGTGTAATGCCAAGATTCTCCATTCTTGGCTCATGTTATTGAATGGATCTCTATCCCTACTCATAATACCAGTTAGGACTAAACCTTTTTACTACAGGTTTAGCATGGCATAGCATTTTGCCGTACATGAGGGAAGTCGAGGCTCGATAAAACAAATAAGCCAAAGAAGGCCAGTCCCTAATGCCCAAGTAAACACCATCAGGTTGTTGACTGAGCTGAGGGAAAAGGTAGGAAAATGACAAAGGAATAGATAAGTTGTAAAACGACTAAACCGTGAATATTAAAATAGCACATGCATTGCATATGAACGCGAGGCTGGTCAGAATGGCTGGTCCACATATGTGGCTCAATCATGCAACTAGGCCTTGGTTGTAATCACGATATGCAAGATTGAATTCCTTTCGTGAAGCACGATTATTCGATGAGGGACTTATTTTAGTGATTTAGTTTCCGCTAATTGAAAAATTAGAAGTAATTAGCAGGTAATAACAGTATACTGGCATGCTTCTAGTAATAACCAGTGGTAAAGGTGGTATAACTCAGTTGCGGTCCTGCCCCTCAGGAATAAACTGAGTAGACAACGATCGAGATTTAAAGAATGCATAAACTCGTGTAAAATTCTCAATATCAGATGGTAAAAATATGAATAATATAAATAAGAATAAGTCGACAAATCTACTCACTCTTCGTTGGCTAGGATGTTCACCGATTAGGTGTTCAGCCACCAGTCCGCGTTCTGTAGAGACAGCCAAGCAAATGGAACATCGATACACGGTGCACTTAAAGACGGCTGGTACCATCGTGGAGGCAGTGGCAGAAGTTAAAAATGTAGCCGAAGATGAGGATGAGGATAAAGAGGCCAGAGATGCCTCAGTCGAGGGGCCAAGATTTGATTCATGTTTCGCCATCGCCGTCACTGTCGCCGTCACCACCACCTCTTCCGACTTGCTTACAGGCTTTGGGGACAGATTAGTGGTCGAATCATCTTGCTTCGACTCTGCAACCGCCGACTGTACTTTTGGCAATTTCCGCTTGCCGCTGCCAACACAAATAGTGCTACAGGTCAACCCAGAATTCGCTGCAGCGTCTGTCTCCATTTTATCGATCTCCTCATCTTCAGCTTCTTGACCAGGAAACTCTAGCCGGCCAGCATCTCCTTTTTGATGTTTATCATCTTCCTCGTTTT